GAAAATATGAACGAATATACACACATACTATGATTATATAAAAAAATTTTGTTAGTTAACTTGAAAATGGATTAAAGGATTCCGAAATATATTTATTTATTTGATGTTACTATGCATATCTATGTATGTTGTTTAGATGACAATGTAAGTGACAATGTTAGAAAAGAATATATAACGAATTGAAATTGAGGTAAATTTAAAGAATATATCTCGTAAAAATTAAAGATTAACAATACATTTTAATAAATTGAAAGAGTTTATTTGAAAATTTTTGTTGACCCATCACAAATTAAGTTTTCAACGGTGTCAATTAAAACATACTTGCACTACACAACATACGAATGACTTTTGGTGTCAAACTTAAAGAGAAAAAAGGTGTCAAGAAGAAATAAGTAATTAGAGACCTTAGGTAGGCCTATTCTAGGCCTTTGGTATAAATCGGCAATATACGAAAAGTTTTGATATATCACCAAATAATACAGCCTACATAAACTTATTGTAGAAAGCTATGAGATTGTGCCAAACAAAACAAATTAAACAAATAGAAATTTCTTAGAACAAGGTTTTTTATAATATGGTGAATGTTCTTTGGATTATACGCAAAAGTGACATTCATATAGGGATTTGAGTGTCAGTTTGACTATCCACGTCCGTTTTAGGCTGAGGTTAAAGACATTTCTCTATTCCATTTTCGTATAAGAAAAGCTGTTCGCAATAATTTGATGTAACTAAGAACTAAAACAGTTGAAAAAAGATCAAAGTTTAAAGTAACTATCAAGCAAATAACTATATAATTTTAATTGTTGTCAATTGACATACTTTAAAATAGAAAGCTTTATAAACCTATCACAGCTTTGAGATATATGTACATAATTAAATTTAATGAATTTTGTCGTAGTTACACCAGTAATTAAACGAAAAACAAAAATTACCAGACCTCTAAATAATTTATACAATAACATCGTCAATTAGAATGAAATTAATAAGCAAATTTGATGGCCCCCCAAGAAAAATAAAGTCATATAACTGGAAAACTATAATACTAAACCCACACTAAACTAGTGATAATAACTGGAATAAAAAAAAACTGTTATAATAAAAAAATGCGCTACATTATATACCAACTTTATTACTATCTTTTTTTTGTCTCCAAACTAAATACACCAACTAAAAGCTCTTTTTTTTCTTTCTATATAAACTTTAATTTATTTTTGTCGTATAATGATAATAATATAGATTAGTAACAGTCCCACATTAGAATTGATTAACTTTTTAATCATATAACAGATTTCTTACCGCCTACTTAAAAAAAAATTTTTTTCTTGTGTAAACTTTACGATAATAAAACTACCACTGTATTTTTACACATAATGAATTTTTAATTTTATTTAGCTTATATAAAATAATATGAGGAAAAAAATATAGAGGAGGAAAAATAACTTTAAAAAAGACCCCATCGGCAATAAAAAAAATAAACCCAACACACAAACAATAAAATTTTTAAATTCATTCATAATGAATACTGTTAATTTAAATATTATATGAAGTAATTTTTACCATTATCTTCCTACACATAATACAAAGATACCAAATATTTTTTTACAAAATTTTTACCAAAAAAATTTTTTTTAGAAAATATAGAATATTTTGTGAGAAGATATAGATGGAATCGATTGTGTGTCTATATTTACTCTGAGTGCGAAGTAAAGGAAAAGGATATTAAAGAAGAAAATTTTACACACCATCAACGGTAGAGGAGTCAGGAGTTGATATATCGTCGAACGAGGTCTGATAATAACATCATGATTATGAGGGTTTCAAACTTAATCTGAACGTCACCCTTTACACAAAAAAAAGAATACGAAAATTTCATGAAACCATTATGCCGAAGAAGAAACGATACATGTAGACGAACAATACCCATTTAAAAAAAGGGTTTTAACCGGTCGTACATTGCTGTCCACCATTTCAAAAATTTTTGAAATTAGGACTGTTAAGGATCTCAAATTATTTGAATAAGTTAAATATTTTCAGTGATAAACAATTCGGCTTCAGAAATGGTATCTCAATCCACGATGCGCTTCTGCTATTTTTCTCGAACATTATCAAAGGTTTGGCTAATAAAAAATATTGTGCCGGTAATTTCGTTGATGTTACTAAAGCATTTGGTATGGTAGATTAATTTTTTCTTTTACAATTGGCTTCATGTTTGATTAGTTCATATCCTATTTAAGTGGCGAAGCACAATGCATTAGCATTGCAAAATGCTGCATTGACTATAAAAATAATAATTTGAGCGTTTCTCAAAGCTCACTTCTTAATTTATATAAATTCACATTTTTTAAGCAAGAATTTAGAGGTGATTCAACAGCCTTTGCTGATGACTTCGCTGCATCCTATTGCTGTGATGGTCCTCTAAACTTAGCTTGTGATATTAATAATAATTTACACAATTTTCGTAATTGATTCAATAAACATATAGATTAATGTGAATTCAGTCAAGATATTTCTATCAAATGAAGACGTGCTTAAAATATTTTATTAGGATGACGGTGTTTTTCGAAATAATTTCGCGAAAATCTAATTACATAGTTAATACCCCTGAGCTAGTAAAATGAAAAGTTAACAAAAATTCTACTTTTTCTACTACTTTACACTGATGGATTAAAGGCGTACATAGAAATAAGTGTGAGCATTGTTGAGCCGAAAACAAAATAAGAGGATGAATCTATGAACGCATTCAAGTGTAATCTTAGGTACATATGATTGACGTATACGTTCAGTATAATCTTGAAGGATTCTCTTAGGGACCAACTAATAACAATCATTTTTGACAATCAAGTGGTCATCAAATCAATAAATTTATGATTAATGTCCTATACTATGATTTTGTCCGGCACATTACACCTTTAAAAACTCATACTTTCATACTTATATCATCGATTCTATATTGTTCGATGTTTTATTTTTTTTTTGTATTGTTGTTCTCCTCATTTTGTTATTTCGTCACAGATGAAGAAATTTTATATTCATCTATCAACATCGAAATCCCATATAAATACTTATATATGCCATATTGTAACATGTATATACGAGTAGTATATACATATAAATTATTAAGAGTGCCTTCCTATAATATTTGTAACCTATAATTTTGTGCATTTAATATTACAATTTTTACGTAAATCTTTACCTACATATTATGTAAATATGTGTATATCAACATTATGTATAGGATGTAAAATTAAAGAGGAAAGATGCAAATTTTTTGAAGAGAAAAAAGAAAAATTAGAACAATAAACTAATAATAACTATATATATATACATTTAAATACATTAATAATTGTATGTATTGCTTACTATAAAAATAAAATCTTTAATTTAAAGATGCATTCAAAATATAATATTCCTTCGCAATATTTGTATATTTCTTATTATATAATTATTGTATATTAAAAATGCCATAGAGAATTTTTTTTTTTTGTATATGTATGTATTTCTATTGAAAGTAGACGTACTAATACACATACATTATATATTTCATATGTGTTAGTGTTAAGAGAATATATGTATAGTAATATGTATACGAGTATATATATGAGTTATGATAGAAGTCTTACAAATTGTGTCTTCTTCTTTCTTTTTTGCTTTAAATAAATCCTCACGGTACGGCTCATATCTATTTGTATTGCTATAATATTTTTCACTATAGTATGTACATATAAATATGTATGTATCTAAAAATTAAATTCTTACTCCAACATAATTGTATTACTTACTCCCAGCAATATACCATGCTTTACTTCTATACTCCTGCATTTATTTATTCTTATTCATACATAATTATTATGTTCTTGCTTTTATTATCATTATTATTATACATATGTATACATATATATAGAACAAATACATAATGTATGAGAGACAGATGTATCTGCAATATGTATTTTATATATACTTTTAAAATTTACCTTTGATAACATACTAAAAATATAACTCGTACTCATAATATGTACATACACATATTTGTATATACTATATAATAATAATATTCATGATATTACTGAAGTTTTATGTAGGTACATAAAATGTTTATGTTCCACTCTGTTTAGTCTTCTTTTTGTTTTTGTGTTTTCTTTTTTGTATTTGTGGTATTTGAGTATATTATGTTGTTGCTGTTGTTGTTGTTGGTATATTTCTGTTATTTTTTTATTATTATTTTTCTGAACGAATTTTCAAACTTGGGTGATTCCATTCAATTTAATTTTTTTGGTGAAGTCATCCGTAAATCTTCAGTTTAGTATTGGCTTTCGTACGAGAAGGTCTTCGTCGCGTAAATAAATTTTTAATACAAAAAAAAAAGAAACGAATAAAGATTTTCTTTTGATTAAAACTAAAAAATATTTTTCTTCAAATTTTAATTTTTCCTTTTTTTTTGTTTTATTTTTCTACCTAATATTAGTATTTTATTCTACTTAAGAATTTTTATTAATAATTTCTTAAATAAATTAAGTTGATTTTAATATTAAAACAATTTCAATTATAATTTAAAAAAAAACAAAATGCTTAATTTTAAAATAAGAAAAAATTACGGATTAAAATAAAAAGGATTATTGCAAATACCTACTTCCTAGATTATATAGGTTAAATATTTCTTACACTTATATATAAATCAAGGAAGAAAATAAAGGACAATTTGGAAAAAAAATTTAAATATTTATATTTAAAGATAAAAAGTGAATAATTTAACAAAAAAAATTTTTTTGTCTCTGATTCTAATTATTATATATAAAAAAAAATAATAAATTAAGAAAAAGGATATAAAGGAATTAAAAAATTATAACTAATAAGGATAATTACAACATTTTATACATAATAATAATTTTGAATATAACAAACATTATTTTTCATATAATATAAAATTTTATATATTTTACATATATATATATACATATATACATACTGTACTATATAGATTATATACTTTGAAATATTTCGGTTAATTCGGTTATTCTTCGTTTATAATTGAATTATTTTCAATTATTTATTACAATTTTTCTTTTCGTATAATTTAAATTAAAGAAAAAAAAAAAAATTTCGAAAATTCATATGGGTTTATCTGATGATCATCATCATATAGGCGGTTCACAGCCTTGTAATTGCCATCATCAATCAGTTGCACTATTAGGATCAACTGAAGTTAATTTTGTAAATCATAATACAAAACGAAAAATGCATATTTTAAAAAGGATTAAAAAACGTTTTGGTTTAGGTTAGTACAAAAATTAATTTTAAAAATTTTATTATTTAAAATTATTACATAACATATTGTGAGCAATGAAAAAATATTTTTTTTTTTTTTATTAAATTTTAAGCCAAAAATATATTTTGAAGATGCTGAAATTTTAATAAAATTTTTATTTAAAATGTTCAGATTATAATTATAAAGAAAAACACATATTTTCTTGTTTAATTAAGTATAATATGATGAATGTCCTTTATTTAAGGATATTTCATTAATAGTATATACTTTAGTATACATATAATATTTATATGCAATTTATCAGAAAAAATAAATTAATATTTAAATTAATTGCTTATATACATTTATAATATTCATAAATATAACCGCTTTAATGGAACATGTATATATGTATATTGACATACATATTTAAATATAATGTGTGTATGTATAATATTATTATATCCTTATAATTTATATGCTTGTAGGTATACATACATTATGTATAATAAAAATTGTGGAATATGATTATTTTCGATTGAAGAAATTGTGGAACATAATAATAATATTGATTGTATATATGATAAGTATAAATATTTAAATATATTGTGAAATATTTAAGATATATATATTACATATGTGTATATACATATTGCATAATATATATAATATAAGGATAGCCTATTAACGTGAAAATTGCACCCTCAACTTCATAAATGATTCAGTTTTTTTTTTTCTCTCCGTTATTTAATGTGCTGCGCATCATCATGCAATATTTAGTGTAGCTATATGCTTATATACATATAATATAGAACATTTTTTTTGGAACAAGGTTTTTATATCATAGTATGGTTAGTTAATGCAGCAACTATTTATATATATTTTGATTTAAAATATTATTTTACATATATACATATATATATTTATATGTACATGAACATGACATTGGTATATGCAGATATTTCAATAAATTTTCAATATTAAATTTAAATTAATAATTTATTAATGAACTTAATTTGAAATATGAAATTCTTTTAATAGATATTATAGAAAAGAATAATTTAATATTTTACTGTTATATATTCAAATATATACCATGTCCTTAATATTTCAAACAAATTTTTCTTGATTTTCAATTTACATTTTTTGAATATCCGTACGCAAATTTAATTTTTTATCTATTGTAAACATCACAAATAATTGAAAATTATACATTCGTTTTATTTTATTATCAAATACCACCTCTGTTCTGTCAAATTAAATACACAAATACAGCAATAATTTTCCAATAAATTATCTTCAAAGTATTGTCCATAAATTTAAGTATTTGCTTAAATTTACGAGCCCGATTGGAGTAGCTTTTTAAAATATAACAATAAATTACAATTTTTTTTTTCTATATATTCAGAAGTTAATTTTAAATTTCAACTTTCAAAATACATACATACGAGTATCTACTTATTTACATAAAATTCTTTATTTTTATTAATTTCAAATTCAAATTCATATATGTGTTAAGATTTTTAATAATGAAAAAGCCGGTTAATTAATTATGAGAACAATATATGAAAAAAAAAACTTTTATTAAATAAATTCGTGAAATAGTGATTATTGACGTGTTTTTTATTATTATATTGTGGTATACTCGTATATAACTTTGTATGTACATGTATATTAACGAAACTGATGATGGATTATTTAATCATTTTTATTTTAAAGTTCTCGGTTTTTATCTCTTATACTTGTACGAGTATGTATTTAAAAAAATTTCTTATGAATCATTTAATAAATTTATTGTTGGTTCTTTTTTTCATATTTATATATGTATAACTATATTATGTGTATTATACATTTATATTAGATTTTTTTATTGCATTATATGATAACATTTTTATTATTATATTATAAATTAAACAACAATATATTTATTTGCATATGCGTCAAGAGTATAAAGCGAAAAAGTTTCAAGTCGTTCTAAATAAATCTAAGCAATAAATCTGATCGAATATTTTATAGGTACGTCAGATATATACGATATCATGACGTATATCTAACCACTATTCAATTGATTATTGTCTTAATGGTATTATTGTTGTTTTCGTGGTTTATGTTAATTGAATTCCAGTTTCATATTTTTACATTAAATTATTTTACTCATAGTAAATAATAAAGTGTTGCGCATTATTAATATCCTGACCTTATCTTTAGCGGCAAAATTACCCCACTGTAGTTCTTCTTCTTCTTCTTATGTTGGGCCTTAGTGCTGTATTTGACTAGAATCAGCCACCTTGAGAGACTGACGTTCAACTTTCATGCCACCTTTTGGATGGCCTTAGAATGTAGTTATCTTACAAAAAATATGATAGGAGCTTAACTAAGGTTGATAAAATATGATAGGGTTAACTAAGAAGCATACATAAGAACATATACATATGTAATTAAATATGTACGTAAAATAATAATACAAGAATGCCAAGCTTATATTTAAAAAATCCTCAATCACTCAATCCAAAAATTTATGATACTTCATTATTATGAAGTATGAACTAATAAAAATGAGGGTAATCTCTAGGGTTAATAATAATTATAAAATTATAAGATGAAAACAAAAATTATTTGCATTTACTCAAAAATTATTTTTAATTCATAACTTCTGCCAAATATATACTTATTTTCTCCAATTAAATATTAATTTCTTTGAACTTCATCTTGTATAACTGCGCTATTATTATAATAGAGCTAAAAATAACTGCTTACCTTACCATATATACATATAATGTAATTTAAAATAATTACTGTTAACATAAATTACTTTTAATCAACCAACCTTGGATATGAGTCAACATTCATTTTGTTTTTTTTTTTTTTTTGGTTGTGATTTTATTTCCGAAAATCTAACAACATTGTATTTTTCTTTTATTTATGACAATATGTGTATGTATAAATTGTGTATGCATATATTATGTATTTTCTTATTATACGTATAAGGTTATAAGGTAAAGTTTACCTTAAATAGCTTTTGTTTTTTCGTTCTTATATACATATAAATATAATATGCCATCAATTTGTTATACTAATCACGGCATGAGAAAATTAAAAAACAATCGTGATAAAATTAAATTTAAGTAGCAAAATGTATAAAGCACATATTTATATATATGTATGTGTATATGAAATATGTATTATATAAATATTGGAATAAATATGTGCTAAATATACATGAAAGAAAAAATAAAAGGCCGTTAAAGTAAAACTAAATTACTAATAACATGTTTTTTTGCTATTCAAGGGCACATTTTTCAAACAAAACTAAAATTTTCACTCAATAAGAAAAAATTTCCAAAATTGAGAAAAATTGCCAAAACATACAACTTAACATTCATTATTCTCTTTTTTTTGTTTTAAGATAAAATCACCAAAATAAAAATTCTCTAAGTCATTACCTACTTCAGGTGTTCTGAAATAGAAAACATAAAAACAAAAGCAGCTAAAAAAATTTTTAATGAATTTTTTTTTTCATTCAACCTTCATTAGAAAATTTTTTTTTCTTTTTTCTTTAATTTATTTTACTTTTTAGGCTATTCATTTATTTTTCTTTCCCTTTTCTGGTTAGTTAATTATTGTATATTAAAAGGAAAGCTTTTGTAGTTAATTTATGTGAAATAAACAAACATACACACAATAATTATGCGACATTTAACATATAAATTCACAAAATTCACAATATTTAACTTAATATAGTGTGTAAAATACTTATACACGAAAAGTCGTAAGTTGTCTTTTAAAACAATTCAACCATTCAAAAAAAAAAAATTAAGATTTTTGTTATTTTCTTTAAGAAAAAAAAAAAAAAACAAAATACGAAAATTCGAATCAGACATCAAGTACAAAACCGTGAGAAACTTTAAAGTTCAAGTAAAATCTAATAAATCAAGTTAACACAACTGTATATATATGTTTGTAGATAATATACTTATACCGACATACATTATTGCACATATTGACATACACACACTTGTATAACAAATTCCATACTATCACTTCTTATATTTTATACTCAGTTGTGCCATTACAAATGCCATATACAAGTTATTTGTATGCATACCTATAAATATGCAAGTATATCATTAACATTATAACTGCTATATAATTTATATATACACATAATGTATAAAATTAACTATAAATGCTTGAATTTTATTTTATTTAGGTTTTTTCTCTTTATTAAAAAAAAAAATGAGAATTCACAAACCATTAATAAAAAAAACAAAAAGTAAAGTGCTCATTCAGCTCACAAAACATTAAAGATTTTTGTACTTACAAACGATATGTAAGTGAATTGAGCATTTTTTTATATAAAAAAAAAAAACAAGAAATAAATAAAAATAGGAAAAGATTTTTCGTTAGTTTTTCCCATAATGTTGGAAAAACTCTACGGTTTTCTTTTTTGTTTTATTGTACATTTATATCAATAAAACAAAATAAAAGAAAAGAAAAAAAAAACTTTGTCTCTTTCTATAACTACTTTTTTATTATTACTATTATTGCTATTATTGTGCATAGTTATAGTTTTTCGTATACTTAATTTTTATATTGTGTGGTGTATACCAAGAAACTCGTACTTGTATTCACGTCACAATTAGCCGGCAAAAGAATACCGTATTAGATTATAAATAAATATTATTTTTTATAGAGAATAAAAAATTATATAAACTTTTGAGCAAGAAATAAATGAAAATTGCTATGTATAGGTACCCACAGATATGTTATTAGGATTACCATCGTCATATATTTTCAAAATTTACCGGAATTCAAGTCGAAATCTTGTATAATTGAAATACCAGAGGTATTTCAATTGTATAATTGAAATACTCATTATACTCTTCGGTTACATTACTGACAATTACTTTAACCCTTTACTTGTTATTCTAATATTTTCAATTAAATATCTTGAAAGCACTTACAAACAAGAAATGTTATAATTTTTATATATGAATATTTTTGTTACGACAATATTAAATACAATATCC